TGACGAGAGACCCCTTGTCTCTGACAATTCGGACTCCACAACACCGCCTCTACACTCCCTGGGTGCAGGAGACGGGTCGAGAGGGACAAATGAACCTCAGACTCCTTTACTTTTCTGAGAGGAGTTTGGGCGAGATTCCGCGGCGCTAGCATGACCCACGCAGTGCTCTCTCTCCTCCCTAGGGAGATAGCAGCACGCCCTGTAGGCAGCGCTTTCTTCAAAATAGCCTCTTCCCGCGTGACGAGAGACCCCAGTCTTTGTCAACTCGGTCTCCATAGCACAATTTCACTGCCTGGATGAAAGAGGCAGACCTCAGACCTCAGACTCCTCTTCCTGAGGGGAGTCTGGGCAAGTATGGTCAATTCACCTCGACGTTAGCATTAGCCACGTGGTGCTCTCTCTCCTCTCCCTGGGGAGATAGCAGCACGCCCTGCAGGCAGCGCTCTCCTCAACATGGCCTCCTCCCGCATGACGAGAGACCCCTAGTCTTCGTCAACTCGGTCTCCACAGCACAATTTCACTGCCTGGGTGAAAGAGGAAGGTTGAGAGGGACATAAGAACCTCAGACTCCTCTTTCTGAGGGGAGTCTGGGCATGTCTCTGTGGCGCTAGCATGAGCCATGCGGTGCTCTCTCTCCTGACTGGGGAGAAAGATGCGCACTCTGTGGGCAGCGCTCTTCTCCTCTTAGATAAGCTTACCTGGGCAAGCGCTGCACTTCCTCGTCCGACGCCGGAGGGTGAAGTGGAACTCGGAAGAAAGCAGAAGGCAGCGACATCCTCAGTCTTCGGTCTAACGGTGAGTGTAGATCTCTATGGCGCCAGAGTTCAAAGTGGCAGGTGCGGGCTGTCGAGGGCTATTTATAGATGGGACTGGCACTTGATTGGAGAATTTAGGTCTCTCTGGCGGGAGACTGGGAGCCTCTGAGTTACCCATAGCGAAGCCTCCTCTAAGGGGCGGAGAACAGCCCGTTGTTGCCGCTAGGGGGCGGTGGAATCACAGTCTTAGAGTCCTATCTTGAGCCTGTCGACCCCCGCCTGTGAAGAAAGCCATCTGGCTGCTTTCAAACCATTCAGAGAGAAATGCTGCCACCTGCTGGCTAGATAAAATATGGTCTCAAGCCATCCCCATACATATTAGATACAATAGACATCTGGAAACGTAAAAATAGCGGGACACGCAATTGACGTGTTAACACGTCAATGGCAGACAACGTTACTATCTGACGTGATAACATTGACGTGTTATCACGTCAATGGCGGTCGATGAGTTAAAGAGTTTTGGCGTCTGTCAGGCGTCTGCTGGAGGTGTAAGTAGAGGACCGCTGGCGAGGGCTTTTGGTTCTCCTACACTACTAGTGCAGAGTTATATACTGTACATATAGGGCAGGATAATAAAGTAAAGTGACATTGTTAAGTGGAAATTCTGAATTTTCAGTATTGCACATTGTAAACGATTTAAGTATTTACTTATTTACAGATGAATGAAATGTACAGGCTCAGCATTCTCATTGTACAGTCTGACAGTAACAAGTGGTTATTCAGGTTACTGTTGCCTTTTTATCAGCTCAAACCAGTCTGGACATTCATCTCTGATCTGGCCAGGGCTGGGCTCGGGCCCAGATAATAGGCCCGTGCAGGGCTCTACTGTCCAAAATAACCAACAACCATGCCACGTTCAGTCACTTAAATCACTTTTCTTCCCCATTCTGATGCTCGGTTTGAACTGCGGCAGATCGTCTTGACTATGTCTACATGCCTAAATGCATTGAGTTGCTGCTGTGTGATTGGCTGATTAGGAATTTGCATTTAAGATTAAGATTATAGTGGAGTTGGATAGATTTACCCAATAAAGTGGCCTGTGAGTGTATATTAGGCTACAAAAACCCTCACCACACGCTTTTCTCTAACCACCTGAACTCCCGACTTAGGCCCAGACTCCACCGGGTGCGTAAAACGGACGACGGATCCGTCCAAACATGTCCGTTTCATCTCCGTCTCCGTTATCTCCATGAGGGTGAATGGAAGTGGCTCCACTGCCTCCGCATGCGTCCGTCCAACGCACGTCGGACGTATTCCGTCAACGGAGGGTGCAACCGACGCGGATGGACGAAATAGAAACAATCCTATTTGTTCCGTCCGTCGACGCGTGTCGGGTCCGTTTTCCATTGAAAATACAATGGAATAATATATTTACAACATTATTAAACATGTATTGATATATGCTGTAGTCCTTGGTTAGAAATATTTGTTAATGACAATGATTATTAACAAACGTGTGTAATGTTTTTCATGTATTAATTTAAATAATTGTTTCCTGATCGTAAATCTACCATTTATTTTTCGCGTAATGTTAATACGCTAATCTTTACATACACCTCGCTCTTTTTTTCTCTCGCTCTGTCCCGTCTACCTCCGAGGCGCTCTCTCCTCACCGCCGCGCGCTCCCACACACTCACACTCACACACACACAGAGCTGCACTTATGAGAGACATATCTCACAACACTGGATATGTTGGAGTTCTTTTCTCTTTTCTCTCTCCCCTTTTTCCAATTGCTTTCAATAAGTTTTGTCTCATCCGCGACGTCCTCAATGCTTCGATATGCTGTGCTTTGCATAGATCACAGCCACAGCTCATGCACATCACACACCGCTTCTTCTATTTAAAACTATAGCGGCTGCCTGTTGCCTAAAGCCGCAGAGAGGCGAGTTGGGTCCGATAAAAGTGTATGACGCGCTAAATAAGTAGAAAACAAACGAAGAGGCTGGATCATGATTCATAATAAACGCTGCAGTCACAGACCCAAACACACATGCACGCACACGCCTCCCACCACACACACACACACACACACGGGCGCTCTCACGCACACGCTCACGCACACATGCACGCCGACAATACATAACTCCTCCATCAGCCAAACATTCATTCATTCACACAATGCCCAAACATGTCTCCTACAAAAACAAAGCAGGCTGATAAACGCACAGCCAGAGTTGCGCGCTGCTGCAGCCGGTTTGACCACTTGTCCGTTTTACGGACGGCTGACGGACAGCAACCAACGCGCGTCAACGGAGACGCGCCCGGTGGAGTCCAGGCCTTAGAGATATCAAGCCTGTTTGTTGTAGGTCTGAGCGCTGAGGGGCAGGAGCAGGCTAACGGGAAGACCGTGGGTCCTCTAAACTAATCACACAAGCCATAAAAAAATCTTCCGACTTTGGATAAAGGTAGCTGTCATGTCATGTTATATTAGCAGTTAGAAGTCTGCTGCAAAAAAGCAAGCAAAATTCACCACAGAAAACCGTGAAACGGCGAGGCCGCAAAAGGTGCACCGCGAAAGATTTATTTTTAAGGCCAAAAATCGATATTCACTCAATATGGGCGATTTTAAAAAGTTTATTCAGCAATTTTTTAGTTTAGAGAGTTATATGGTCGAAACTGATGCTGAAGCCAAAAAACATACAAATCGATGGGAGGTTCTGAAAAGATTATTTTGAAATGTTACTATGTTTATAGTACGTAAATGAAGGTGTGTGGAAACCGCCTGGACTTGCCCTGGTTAGGAATTTATTTTATTTTACCATCAAAATCCTTTTACAATTTTTGAAGTGCAGACAGTGTCCATTGTTATTTATTTATTTTATTTATTTTATTTTTATTTATTTTTTCTATTTTTTTTTCTTTAATGTAAATATATGTAATAGTAATAATTAATAAGTGTGGAAAATGCGGCAGACTAAGGCACGATAATAGAGGCCAACAGCTATACAAGCATATGGTGTTTATTGTTATGCCAGAGATACAGGTTTAAGGCAGTGTTTTATTTTTTGGGTCCCTTGAAAACAGCATCATTTCCTTAAACAGGACAATTAAAACAGAAAAAACCTTTCACAAGACAGTTGGAATGAGTGAGTGAGTGAATGGGGGATGAGGGAGGGTGGGGTGGTACACTAGTTATGTAAGTGTATCTTGTATTTTTATGTTGAACTGATTATTTTCTGACAGTTGAAAATAAAGAATAAAAAAAAAAGGTGCACAGCGATATAGCGAAGGAAAAAGTCACTTACTCAAATGAAGGCTTTAACCAATTGAGTTTACTCAATTATTAACAACCTTTTTTCGTCACAGATTAATCAATTATTGCTGTACAATTTCAAGAGCCGCTTTAAACATTCCATATCCAGGATTGAGAAAATGCATTTTTTTTTAGCATTTTTTCATCAACCTCAACACAATACACTAAAGTAAATAACTTAGTTTGAATTGTTTGAGCTAGTTTGTGATGACACATGACTGATATGTAAGACAGATGGATTATCTGATCTGATATTGGGTCAAAAATACAATAAAATAATAATGAACACTTTTCCTATGATCATGTTTTGAAAATTCTTTATTTATTTATTTAATTTAATATTTATTTATATAATTAACATGTATAATTTTCATGATATTTTGACTTTGATAACAATTTATCTTCAATAAATGAAATGTCAATGAATTGATAGTGTTGTATTCCTGTTGTATCCTTGCAAGAGCTAAAGGTCCAAAAGCCTTTATTTTTTTACTGAACTATTTCATCGTGTCATGCATCGAGATTCATATTGTACTGTCAGCTCAGAAGGATATACTGCCATAGCTTTGTCTTCTATCAACAAATGAAAATACAGTTGTCCCTCACCATAACACGGTTCACCTTTTTTCGGCCTTGCTGTTTTGAGGATTTTTGTGTGTGCAATTTTGCTTCTCATTGTATTTTACAGTCTATGCATGGCTTTTGACAGCTGCAGCAACTCTCAGACCTACAGGCAAACAGGTTTGATATCTATGAGATGGTATTCAGCAGTCATGAGTTCAGGTGGTTAGGAAAGTGTTTAAAGTTTTTGAACATTGCCGTGGGTTATTTTTTTGACATGAGCACTGCAATAAACTACTGCTCAATTCCATGTTTTTAGACGTTGTTTCTCATGCCACTCTAAGTTCTGCTTGTTCTATCCGCAGCAGTTACCCGTTATCACGTCCAACACCATTGTTCGCTGCCGATCGTGCCGCACCTACATTAACCCTTTTGTCACCTTCCTGGACCAGCGGCGATGGAAGTGCAACCTGTGCTACAGGATCAACGACGGTACAGATCCCCAGACAGCTCCTGTCTGCTGACACCACTTTATGTGATGTGTTTGTGTGTGTGTGTGCAAGACGAGGAAGGCCTGTAATTTTCATGCCTCAACTATGAGTGACAGAATGAGAAAAAAAAATCCAGAAAATCACATTTGAGTCCCTGGCAGTGTAGTGTTCTTTTGTCCCAGCTTTCTGCAGGTCATTCACTAGGTCCCCCCATGTGCTTCTGGGATTTTTGCTCACCGTTCTTAACCATTTTGACCCCACAGGGTGAGATCTCGTGTGGAGTCCCAGATTGAGGGAGATTATAAGTGGTCTGTCTTCCATTTTCTTATTAATTGCTCCCACAGTTGAACTCCCACAGTTCATCATTCCAAGCTGCTTACCTATTGCAGGTCTGCAATTTTGTTTCTGGTGTCCTTTGACGGCTCTTTGGTCTTGGCCATAGTGGAGTTTGGAGTGTGACTGTTTGAGGTTGTGGGCAGGTGTCTTTCATACTGATAACAAGTTCGAACAGGTAACAAGTGGAGGATAGAGGAGCCTCTTAAAGAAGGAGTTATGCCTTGTGTATCCTCGCGCGGCGTGGAGCTTATGGAGGTGACGTGACGTCACTTGCGCAACGCGTTGGTCACCGCAAGGCCCTTACGTTGCCTGCCGCGCTGCATCAAAATACTACGATGTAAGGGTCGCCGCAAGGAAGCTCCGCTGTAATTGGTCCCTGTGTGTGTATCAGAGCATGGACGAGGCACTATGGAGCAGACTGCTTCACGCTTCGAAGAAACCAAAGGAAAAGTAGTTTGGGCTCATGGCAGAGCCTGATATACGCGGAGACTGTGGACTAGAGTTCTGTTGCATATCTAACTGTGCAGTCGTTTCTTTTGCACTGTTTGTATGCTGTTTGTGATTAATACAATTTAATAATAACTATGTTTCCAACAAGAACTGTGTCTTTATTCACAAAATCACAGTTAAATGAGTTAAGAAATAATGAGTCCATAGAACTATCACATAAACCTAAAGTAGAATTACATGTAATGATCTCAAACAGCTTTGTTTTTGTTCATGTTTTTGTTCTGAAGAGGAGAAAGTAACAGCGTAAATGAGACCGCTTTGGTATCTCAAGCAACTCCTGTGAGATCGCCATCGTGTGGTTGGTTGTGCGATTACAACATTCTCCTCAAAACTCCGCAAGGAGTATAAATTAAATTGTGCTTGCGGAGGTCCACCGCAACCGCTAATGTAAGCAGCGCCGCGCAAGTATACACTAGGCTTTACGGTCTGTGAGACCCAGAAATCTTGATTGTTTGTCGGTGACCAAATACTTATTTTCCACCATCATTTCTCATTCTGTCTCTCATAGTTGAGTTACAGTATACCTATGGTGAAAATTACAGGCCTCCATCTTTTTTAAGTGGAAGAACACTTTTTTTTCCCCCACTGTGTGTGTGGGTCACAGGTTACATGCATGTGTGTAACTTTGTGGGTGTGTGTAATGTGCTCAGTTCCAGATGATTTCATGTACAACCCGGTCACCAGGTCGTATGGAGAGCCCCACCGTCGGCCCGAGGTGCAGAATGCTACAGTAGAGTTTATCGCCTCCTCAGACTACATGGTAATCTACATCTTTGCTACGGCTTTACTTCTATGTTCACCTGGGTATAGAAAAAATTAAACATCTAGAAATTTCTATTCAGTGCTCATTAGTCTTTTTATATTTTGTTTTGTCCTCATTTAAAGGTACTCTGTGTAATCTTTACAGTTGTTCCAACTGAATGTCAATGCACCATCTTGAAATGCATTGGTTGATAAGAGACAAAAAAATGATGTGAGAATCGCGTTTTTGTTTCACAGGTGCTACTATTAACGTTGCTTCCACCGTGCCCTCACAAGTTTGAAGTAGGAACCATGGAGGACCGTAAAAGAACCATGGAAGACCACAGTTATGCAAAAGAACGACCCGAACAACCATTTATTAGAAAAATAACTATGCAAAAATCTATAAACCGGCGTCATAACAGAAAAGCGTTGGTGGTAGAACTTGCAAAATATGATCTCAACTCTAGATGGGAGTAGGGGTGGGAACCTAAGGGTACCTCACGATACGATACGATACACGATACAAAGCTCACAATAACGATAATATTACGATAACAATTATATCACGATTTGACGATTATAGATGTATTGGTCAGAAATATACCATAATTATGCCAATTTATGGCATAAATAAAATAAAAATGGTAAGTGAAAAAATACACTTTATTTCATGACAAATGAAATGGAGATGCTTAATGTAGCCATATATTAAGTATTGATACTAGGGCTGTCAAAATTATCGCGTTAATTACCGTTAATTACCGTTTTCATTAACGCGTTAAAAAATAATTAAGGCATTAACTGCCATTGACGTGTTGTCAATTGCGTTTCCCGCTATTTTCACGTTCCCAGATGTCTATTGTATCAAATATGTAAGGCTTGAGGCAATATTTTATCGAGCCAGCAGATGGCAGCATTGCTCTATGAATGGTTTGAAAACAGCTAGATGCAATTTCTGGTGATTTCAATAAAACTTACCTCTACTCGACTGGGGATTAAAGGGGAACGAAACAAGCTAGAAACAAAATTATTCTTGCTGATGAAAGTAGGCAGTCCATTCTTTCAGAATCTGGTTTTGGATTTCAGATAGGTGGTCATGAAAATTCAGTAAAAATCATCAGAAACGGCTGGCAATATGGGAGTACCTGTTCTGAAATGGGCTGGAAGGCAATCGCATGTTCGAATGACCCGCCCATTTATAATATCACTCAGAATGCCACAGACACGTGCGTGTGTGATGGTGACAGCGGTAACGTGGTCATATAATACACGCATATATATACACGCACAGGGGCCATTCTCTGATGTTGTGTGACACACGGAGGAGAGGAGAAGACCCGCTGAAATGCAACCAAACTCGCAAAATTAAAGCTGGGGTACCTACATTTTCCCTTTCATTAACAGCTCTTGTTGGTTGCACCCAAAAGTAGAAGGTTGTGAGCAAGTCAAACAGATTTAAGTCCATTTGGTATGAATAACAATGTGTCATTACATTTGAAAATCTCATTTAACTTCAATTGGAGTGGATTTGAAATAGAATGCTTAAAATGCGATTAATCGTGAGTTAACTCACCATTACTCTGCGATTAATCAACAACAAAAAAGTTACTCGTTTGACAGCCCTAATTGACACTAATTCTTTTTTTCAAAATTGATATTGATACTTGGCAAATGCATGTCGATAATCGAATCGCGGGAGAAAGTATCGCGATATATCGTCACACCTCTAGATGGGAGTAAGAAACTGTGCAGTGTACCTTTTAAAGCCTACATCACAAAGTGCTTTAGCCATTAAACATGCTTATTTTTTTTCCTAAAGCTGTATATCATCTATGATGTGGCGTGAATAAATAATGCTCTGAAGAGCCTTTTGGGCGATAAGAAAAATTTGAGTCTCGGGGATGTACGGTAAGGTTGCTGGCCTTATTGTTATACTGTACATCCACTGAGAGGGCCAGTTTTGTGTACAGCGGCCCCTGCGTATCAGGTCGGAACATTGCATTTGCGTTGCACACAGGGAGAAGTGTGCTGGTCCCAGGGCTCTCTAATCCCTCCGCAGTCACACGCAGAGCTTTGGAAAATTATAGACCAGATTCAATGATGATGGCTCTGTCCCAGTCCATGATTCCTCCAGGCCGTCACGCTGGCCATGCCTACTCAGGAAGATCCCTTTGCTGAGATCTTTTATGAGGATGGCTCATAATTGGCAGCCAAAACATGTCAAGGTAAATATCTCACATATACAGTTGTCTGCCTAGAAGACAAGATCCATCAGAACTGAAGACAAGATGACAATGAGTGTTAAGCCTAGTGTATACTCGTGCGGCGCAAAGCTTACGGTAGTGATGTGACGTCGCTTGACAAAGGCAAGGATCACTGCAAGACCCTTGCGTAGCCACCCCTGCTCCCTCGAAAATGTCTAAGTACGCAGCCGGCACTGCAGAAAATCTCTGTTGTGATTGGTCCATGTGTGATTTACTTTTTGTATGGAAGCACGGAGCGGCTGTGGGGAACATGGACGAGGCACTTCGGAGCTGATTGCTTCATGCTTCTAACGAGTGTACGAGCAACTGTGGCTGCGTAGGTCCAGTGCAACCGCCAACGCAACCAGCGCAGCGCGAGTATACACAGGCCTTTAGTGAAGTTAAGCCATGCACTCCGGTTCTGAGCTCTACTCTGTACTTTCCCCAGCTGCGTCCCCCTCAGCCTGCAGCCTACCTCTTTGTTCTGGACGTGTCCCATAATGCTGTGGAGTCCGGATACCTCAAGTACTTCTGTGACAGTCTACAGGAGAACCTCGACTCGTGAGTGGTTTATACTCATATTTTTACAAATCAGTCTCCAAGTCATACATGCATATTTAAAAAGTTGACAATTATATAAAATGGAGGCAAAATTGTTGACCGATGGCAATCCACTGAGAAGATTGAGGTTTTGAGGGAGACATTTAATTCACCCGTTTAGCTGAAGCCATTTTAGGTAAAAGTTTACAATGAGCAACTTTTAATTAATTAGTCATAGTTTAATACTACTTAATTGCTGTGGTCAACTAAAGACAATGGTAAAAAGGTGGTACCACAAAAAGCTCCTGTGTCTTGTGTCCCAGTCTTCCCGGAGATGCACGCACTCGGCTGGGCTTCCTCACGTTTGACAGCACCCTTCACTTCTATAACCTGCAGGATGGCCTGTCACAGCCGCAGATGCTCGTGGTGTCAGACATAGACGGTGAGTGTAGTCCCTGGACACAATGTTGATGTGCGATCACAAGACAAACAGTGGCTTGCTAAAGCACTAAATTAGAACTTTACAGTAATACTGTAGGTACATTTTAATGATAGATATATAATTTGTATATACATTATACATGGCGTCCTCCACAAGTTGTTACGAGTGTTGTCCTGTGTTGTGGGCAATATAATCCCCCACGTTTATTCAAATTAATACCCGTTTCTGCAAGGTTTGAATGTTTAGCACCGCCCCCCAACTCGCTCGCAGGCTTCTCATTTCCCCTACGCTCTCATCTCACGGAGCCATCTAGATTAATGTGCGATCTGATACGTATGCTAGCATCAGCATTAGCGCAACTTCTTGTAAGCTGTACAACAATCACTGATGAAATGGTACAAAAGCAACGCACTGCTAACACAATATATAAGTAAAAGAATACCACTAGTTTTGCGTCCGAATGTTTTAATTTAAACATTAGAATAGATTCGATATTTAATTATAATTTATTATACAGCTCTTCACAGCAGCAGTAGAACACTCCATTGACATAAATGTAATTTCAAAACGTTCTACCAATCATTTTTTCTTGATAACAGAACTCTCAAACCAATAATGACAGCTGCCCTTTGGGAATGCAATCTCTGTTTGTAATTCAGGTGTGTAAAATACTAACATTACTCCGCAAGTACAACGAGCTTTCAGTGCCTGTCACTACTTCTCTCTGTGCAGAGAAACTAGCCATGCTCAATAAACAAATACATATCAATCAATCAACACCTTTAAATGTTAATCGGAGAATACATTATACATATACATCCTTAACACACATGCAAGTTTTCAATATTTGTTTTTAACGTTTTCATGACAAAAATACTGTTTTAATGTGACAAAAAGCAATCGCGATAAACCCGGAAGTTACCATTAACATGAAACAAACATTTTAGGACACATTTAAAGAGGATCTGATTATGGATTTAAGTTCGGTATATAAATGGGCCACTCACTGCTGATGTTCAGAATTCTTTGTACAGTTTTCATGTAGTTCCAGAGAGTTTTTTAACTAACTAGCTTAGCTGTTACCTGCCTAGCACTTCACGGTGAAACCTTTGGGAACAAACTATTTTATTTGCAGTCATTAAATACATATTGAATATAAGGGCGTTATTATCGAAAATAATATATATAATATAATATATATATATATATATATATTATATTTAATTAATTTTAGAATTATATTTGAATTTTGATTTCAAAGCCCTAGTGTTTACCAGCGCTGTAGAGGCTGTAGAGGTTCGCAGCTCGTTCTGTGATTGGAGGAGAACGAGCGTCCCGCTAAGTCTCTACTCAGCACTTTTCACGACCTGAATTCCTACACAAGCTGAATCAATGAGCTCAGGTTTTCAATTAAATTACGGATTATAATATAACTTGTGTGTAGTAATAAGCATTTGTATGAACTACTTAGAGAGAAAAAATCGGGTATAGCTTCTTTAATGAGACACAGCCTGTTGCACAACTTCAAAACAGCTTTTATGAATTACTATCATAGACTTAACGACAAATGTGAAGGACTGTTATTTGGGCTTCAAACTATTCTAAAAGAGGATATTTATTACCTGCTTTTAATCTGACTGACTGCAGCTGTTGATGTTCTAGCTAACTAGCATTAGCATTAGTTAGGTACACGTAATTTATGTCAGATGTCCCTTGATTTATGCTTAGGTTTCATGATAAGGAATGGCTGGTGTTATATTTATTTAAACTGATTACAATGTAGATGGATACATGACCATATCTTACATTTACAGGCTTTAAATAACATAATTCACAAAACATTAAGTTTAATACCAAAAAATACAGTTCCCCAACTAAAATATTACCCTCACTCACTCACTCACTCACTCGTGTGTGCAAACTTGCTTTTTCAGAAGCCATTTCTTAGTCAGCCAAGAAAATGTTTTAAATGTAGTACACACAATGATCTCTGTGGGCAGTGTGTTCCACTGACTCATGGCCGTCACAGAGAAAGCAGATTTCAAGCCCCGGTGATCCAAGATGGCGCCCTATTCAAATGAATGGTTGTGCTCAGTGGCGCTTTGTGACGGCATGGGGGCTGAAAAGATTAGCGGAAGTTGCCTGAAACTCGCAAAGAACTTTGGGAAACTCGCAAAGATCTATGGGAAACTCGCCTGTATTTGGGCATCGTCTGGTCCTCCCGGTTCTGCGCAGTGGATGATCTCCCATAATGCGTTGCGCCAAACACGCGTGTGTGGGTCTTACACCGGGTCTCACGCACGTGCACAGAGGGGCTCGGCTGCGCTCTGACCAATCAGAGAAGTTCATCAGAGCGGGAGTTAGAGCGAGAGCCAGACGAGCAGAGTTTGTGGCACTAAAGTGTGGATTTAAACAAAACCGAAGGATTTAAGAAGAAAAAAAGTTCAGGATGACAAGGGACACTAAAATCCCCACAAAATCCGACCTTTATGAAACCTGTAGGTTCTCTGTCAGCTGAGGTTGAGCTGTTTTAATATGCATTGAGTTCTATGGGGAAAATTTCTGGGTAGCCCACGTGAATTTAGTCTGGTCTAGTCTGCAGTACCGCAAGAATCCCCTGAGCACATGGGTTATTCAGCTACAAGCTAGTAATACCCTATCCAGTTAATATAATAGATCCATGGCAGATTTAGCAAAAGTTGTTCTAAATTTTTTTGACGCTGCATTCTCCTCTAGAGGTGGATCGAGTTGTTCGGGTCATTTTATCTGCGCTCAATGATACATTTTCTTAGAGGAGGTGCACTAACACCATGGATCATTTTAAACAGTAAACAAACATTGGAGTAAAATGTTAGGTTTTCAAAGTTGAGAAAGTCATATTTAGAGACGATGGGACAATGATGGTACCGCCTGGACTTCTTATCATGGATCTTAAGGGCATATTTGTACAGTGACTCGAGAGGTCCCAGAGTTGTTTTACAGCCGTGAGACCAGCTCGAGATACAATACACAAAATGTGACAGGATCATGGAGTTCAGATACAGATGGGACGCCTCAGTGGTGAGTGACCCCCGAATGTATCTGAAGTTGGCCGAATTAAACATTAGAGTGTTACGAAGTTTCTTTACATCAGGGGTCTCCAACCTGTAGCTCGGGAGCCACTAGTAGCTCGCCAGCCCCTTACAGGTAGCTCGCGAAAGAAATTAGACTTTAACAAATACACTTAAACGAATACTTTTTGACCCATTACATATCTATTATAAGTATAAATATAGGGTTATACAGTAATATGGTGTATTTTATATGTGTTCTCCAAGTTTAGTCGTAATTATTAGATCCATTTTCGTTATGACTGCAAAAATGAGTAGCTCTCTGCCTGTTTGTTTGTATAAAAGTAGCTCTCTGATTAAAAATGGTTGGAGACCCCTGCTTTACATTATGTTAGAAAGTCAGGTTTTGATCCAGGGTCACACCTAAATATGAGAATACATCAAAAAAAATTATTTTACTGTCATTAATAAAAATATTTGGACAACTGAAATGCTTACGTCGGTTTGTAAAATAAATTGAAACGGTTTTGTCTGTGTTTAATGTCAGACAGTTTTGACACAGCCAGTCAACATCATTTTGCATTTCATTTGTTAATTTTGTTGCCACATCGTTTTTGTTTTTGCCATGAACAAACAACACTGCCGTCAGAATACATGACATTTGCAGTGCAGACAGAGGTGAGGTCATTTATATAAATGCTAAAAGCAGAGGCCCCAAAATGGAGCCCTCTGGCACTCCCATGGTGTAGTCTTTGAGTGGAGAGTGGGTGCTGTTCACTCTCACACTCTGCTGTCTGCCACTGAGGTATGACTTCAGCCAGTTTACTGTCTGGTTAGAGAGGTGGAAATTAGTGAGTTTGTTCAGGAGGATGTCATGACTGACAATGTATGATGACTGTATGATTTAAGTTTCTTGCATTCTGTAATGCGACAGTAGGTGGACCTAATGGTCTTGGGTTCGATTCCACCACGACCCATGTCACCTGTTCCCACTGTTGTCTGCTCTCGTTGTGTCCTTGGGCAAAACACTTTACCCCACATTGCCTGAAGCCCCCCGCTGAACCATCTCGTTGATGACGAAGAAGCCATCTTCCCTCGGACCCACCACCTGCATGAGGATCAGTGAGGGACTTGTGCTATGAGACTTGGGTGGCAGCTCTGATTGCCACCCCCCTGACCTAGAAATGGACTAATAAAGGGGAAGATTATGTCATGACATGGCATTCTGTAATATTTGGCTAACTTCGGAGAAGAGGACGCTGCCGTCTACCTGCTGCTGCGGACATTCACCCACCTGGAGCCCACGGGGAGCACTGTAAGCCTTGGGTCTTGTTCTTTGACATCACCACAAGCGCCACTGAACATCCAGGGGGTGGACATCTTCAAGTACCTAGGTGATCTCCTCAACAATAAACAGGGTTGTGGGACCAGCCCAAACGGCCTGTACAAGGGCAAAAGTTGCCTCCAACTTCTGAGGAGACTGAGGTCATTCGTAGTGAGCATGCCTCTGCTCAGGACTTTTCATGATTCTTTTGTAGCCTCTGCTATCCACTACGCTGCTGTATGCTGGGCGCTGGGCAGCACAGAGCAGGACAAGAGCAGACTGAGCAAGTTGGTCAGGAGAGCCAGCGCTGCTCTCTGCTGCCCCCTGGACTCTGTGGAGGAGATGACAGGAAGGACAGTAGGGTGTAAGCCAAACACCCCTCCATCATGGACAACACTTTCCACCCAGAGGCTGAACAGCTCTTTCAGGGGAAGTCTTAGAAGATTGAGACTTTCAGTGCAGGAAGGAGCACTACTACAGGGCATTCATCCCACCTCTGTACACTATACAATAAGTCACTTAATGATGACCTATGCACTGCCTTAGTCACTTTTTAAAATGTGCATAAGATACCTTTACTGTGCACAAAATATCTTTATAACTCTTTTCTTTTATATCAATTTTTTACATTTCCTGTTGTTTGCACATTTCTTGTCTATTTGTACACCCAGCGTGATCTTACTCAAGCCAAATGTAACACGTACATTTCTCCATTGTGAGATCAATAAAGTGTTGTCTTATATGTACTGTATATGTACAGTATAAGTTTGACACTCATTAATGGGACGCTGTGTGCTTCTCTTCTCAGATGTGTTCATCCCCTCACACGACAATCTGATGGTCAACCTGAAGGAATGCAAAGAGGTACTTCTTTTTGAGTGTGATTAGTGCGGGGAACCCCTTGAGTGTTGTTTTTTATAATCTAGTATAATTTCTAGCTCAGCCAATATAGCCTAGAAGGTTTAATTGAGTAGTTAAATTAGTAAAAGATTCTAATCTGTTTCTATTTTTTTTCTTTCACAGTTGTTTTACCACATTTGTGTGTGTGTGTGTTAGAAAAAATGTCAATTATTAATAAACAAACATTAATTAATATGATTTAAATTTATGTTTTCTGAGTTAAGAGATACTCCAGCCTCCGCCTTCTTTGCCTGTTATCTGCTGTCTCTATGGATTGTGTGTGTGCGAGTGAGTGTCTAAGATGCATTAAAAAGGACATGATTGGAGTGTTGGAGCAGGGGTACTGCTTCAAGTTCTCCTAATGTGTCCTGAATCCCTTGCCACGAGTGTATATGTTTATTTATTTTTCCCTTTTTAAGTTTCTTTTTCTTTGTGTGGTGCATTAAAAACACAAAGGTTGGCGGTGGCTGGGATCAGGGCTGTGGTGAAATGGGTTGATGACCGCTGTTGGTGGTGATGACAGCAAGGATAGAGAATAGGGAAGAAAAAAAACCAATTGTAAGCAACATAGGATAGAAGATTAAAATGTATGTAAGTAATGCTTTTTTGGATAGTGATGGAGAGTGGAGGTCGGCGTGTTTTTTTTTCTTGTCCTGTTGTGATGTGAGTGGCTTTGTTGATCATTATAATTGAAAGTGTGCTATGAATGATGCCCATGTTTCATTGAAGGCTGATATATGCCCTCTTCTGTGAGATGTATTTTTTGTTGTTGAGATATGGTCCAGTGAGTGATGTTACACTACATAGTTCCAATTTTGGAATATAATTTTCTTGGTGAAGGTTAGACAGATGAGAAGAAGAAGAATAGATTTTTATTGTCTGTTCAAATTGAGCAGAGATTTGTCTTTCAACACTGCAAAATTCAGAATCATTCATAAAACGCACATAAAATACATTTAGCAAACAGTTCATAATTTGTGCAGTGCTACCGGTTGTTTAGAGCAGTGACTGCAGACGGGACAAATGATCTCTTGTAGATGTTTTTTCGGGCCAGCGGGGTTCTGTATCTCTCTCTGATGGCAGCAGAGAGAAGGAGCCATACAGCGGGTGTGTGGCATCCTCAGTGATGAGAGTGACCTTCCCCAGCACTGATTGGCTGTACAGCTCACAGAGCAGAGTTTGTGTTGTTTGGGAGATTTTGCTGGCCTGCTTTACTACACTATTGAGTTTTGTCCTGTGTTTGAGAGTGAGGAAATTGAACCAGGTGGAGATATTGTACGTGAGGATGGATTCAATGAGTGAGGTATACACAGTTGATAAAATGCCTTTGCTAACATTAAAAGATCTGTTTCCTGAGGAGATGGAGCTGCTGTATATTTCTGTCCCAAGGTATTTAAAACAGCCCACCTGCTCCACCTGCTCCACCTGCTCCACCTGCTGGCCGTGTATGACTAGGGGTTGAAAAAGATCCACAGAGTCTGTTTTCCTAGCGGCTCCACAGCACAACTCCTTGGTTTTGGAGATGTTGAGCTCCAGGGTATTCTGAGCAAATCCACAAACCAGCGTGTGGACCTCCTGCTGATGGTGTGCTAGGGCCTGTGCATCAGTGAGGTGTGCCACCAGAGTTATGTCGTCTGCGTACTTTATAAGGGTCAGCCCTTCTGTGCTACAGGAGATGTTATTAGTGTACACAGAGAAAAGCACAGGTGACAGCACACAGCCCTGGGGGAGTCCAGTCCTCAAAATAATTTGGCTGGACTTGACACCATCTATCAGCCTATCCCGTAAAAATTCCCTGATCCATAGAATCAGTGATGTGTGAATGTGGAGTGATGAAAGACCTTGAAGCAGGTAGGGTGTCATGATGTTTATTTATGAGGTTTGTTTGAGTAGTGTCTCCTAGAAGACACAGAGTGGGATTTAATGGGATTCTGCAGCCCAAGATTGTGGAAACTTTTTCCGTGATGGAAATCCAGAAGGTGTGTACCGGTTGACAGTCCCAAGTGGCATGCAGGTATGTATCTGTGCTTCCTGAAGTGCATTGTGGACATGTGTCGGTGTCTGAATCCCATTTTTTTTTAAACGGCTTTGTGTGAGGTGTGTTCTATGGATTGTTCTATATTGTATGAGTTGCAAATTATCGTATGTTGTTGTGAAGGAGTTTCTACAGATGCGGTTCCAGAAGTTGGGGCTGGGAGAGATGTCCAGATCCTTTTCCCACTTGGCAGTGTTAGTGGATTGTGAGTTGTTACTATTATTTTGTAGATTTGAAATCAATCTTTTTGTATTGGTTATGTTTAGAATGTTATTAGTCAGGGTGGATGTGTGCAGCATGTTTTGTGTTACTGGTTTTATTTTTGATTAAGTTCTTGAGTTGTTGACCTACCCCGTACCACAGGATAACTGTGGTAAATGACATGAATGTATTGTTTTCAGGTGGTGAAGGTGAGAAATGCACTTTTGTAGCCAAAGGCTACACCAGGCTAAATAAATAAGTAAAGTAAGTAATCTTTATTTATATACCGCCTTTCACAGACCAGAGTAACAAAGCGGTTTACGATTGTCATTTTTTTTGGGCACTTGTCCTCTCACTCCACACAGAGATGGGAGCGGGGTTGCCGAACAGGAGGCGCATGCCAGACCTATTGTACATATTTTTTGTGGTAGGGGAAACCGGAGTTCCCGGAGGAAACCTACACGGAGTTGTTGCGATAGTGATGGACATAAACTATGGTTGTTTTTTATTGATGGTGGAAAAAAAGGGAGGTCTGCTATGGGTGTATTTTGGCATTGGTTTGCTTCTAGTTGAATCCATTGGTTATTATACTTTTGATTATTAATCCAGATGTATTGTAGCTGTGTTTGCATAGAAGTATTGATGAAAATTTGGAGCACAAGTCCGCCGTGTGATTTGGAGTTTTGTAAAGTTGCCAGTGATATTTGGGGTGGTTTGTTTTTCCAGTAAAATTGAGTTGTTATAGAATTTAGTGATTTGAACCAGTTTTTATTATATTTTATGGCTTATAGGGATCATTGTAAAAAAAATTGTAATTTGGGGTAGGATTTTCATTTTAACAGCCTCTATTCGGCCAATCAATGATAATGGGAGTTTTTTCCAAGTTTTTATAGTGTCGTCAATTCTTTTTAATAAGGGAGTATTGAGATGAAAGAGCTCTGACACCCTGGAGGAAATAGTGATACCCAAATATTTTATGTTACCCACGTGTAAGGAGGGGAGAGAGTCTTGAGCTGCAGAATCCCATGAATGCGTAGTTAGGGGGAGTATTGTGGATTTAGTCCAGTTTATTGTGTAGTTAGAGACGGAGGAGAAGTTATTAATGATGGTGAATGTTTCTTTTATAGATGTTTGTGTTTTTTTTAACTATAGAAGGAGGTCGTTGGCATACAGGCTCATTTTATGATTTGTACCACCATTATGGATTCCGCATACTGTATATTTAAATTGTTTCTTATTGTTACAGCCAGGGGTTCAATGAATAAGGCAAAGAGGGAAGGAGAGAGTGTGCATCCCTGTCTGGTTCCTTGGTGCAGTGTGAAGTGTGGTGAGGCGATACCATTTGTGGTTACTGTGGCTCTGGGTGCAGTGTAAAGTGTCTGTATCCAGTGGATGAACGACTCTCCAAACCCGAATCTGAGGAAATGCCCATTGACCTTGTCAAATGTCTTTTCTGCGTCTAAAGACAATATAACCATTTTATTTTTTGTTTGTTGTGCGATATTGACTAGGTTAAAAAGTTTTCTGAGATTGTCGATGCGTGTCTGTTTTTTTTAATGAATCCTGTTTGGTCTGGATGAATGAGCTAGGGCATAACCTTTTCTAGTCTTGTGGCTAGTTATGAGTTTGAGGTCTGTCTTGATTAACCCATTAAGGCCTGACACACCTGGTAAAACAGACCTGTAAAACCTATGGCCGACTTCAGAACCACCCTCCAAAACCTGAAGTTTTCCTGAAATTTAACGTCTACATAATGATTGATATCTTGACCTCTGTAGCAGATTGTAGAAACATTACTTCAAATGAATTATAGAGCTGACACTTGTGGCTTTCAATAAGAATGCAGTGTATTATTATATACCTTCAGTAGAATAATACAAAAAATATACGACTTCCACACAAGAAAGGTAATAAAACAATCAAAAATAATGTGAGACTAACACATGTTTCTCAATACAATAAGTCAAAAAGAGTTTGGCAATAAAGTGGCACTAACTGTATGGGAAAAAAAGAAAATAAATATCCATTCTCAGCCCAAAAAAGTCACAGGGCTCTTAAATTAGTAAAATAAAAAAAACAAACTTGCGCTACTTATTCTTCAAAAAAATATCCCAATGCACTGCATGGATATGGATTGAATTTTTGTAATTAATACAAAAATAAAGTGAGGGTTCAATGATATTTTTTATTAAGTTTACAAGTATACATGAATTGTTTTTATCAATCTTTTACTTGATGGGAAAACACATCCTGCAGATGGCGCCTGGGTTGCCTATGCCCTGGGCCTGCGCTGAAGATAAAGCCTAGTGTATGGTCGGACGGCGCGGAGCTTACGGTGGTGACGTGACGTCACTTGCGCAACGCGTGGATCACCGCAAGGCCCTTACGTAGCCTGCCACGCACCATCGAAGATTTCTAAGCATGCAGGCCGTGCCGCAAAGAAGCTCCACTGTGATTGGTCCCTGTGTGATTACTTTCTGGGAAGCAGGGAGCGGCTGCAGGGAGCATGGACGAGGCACTTCGGAGCAGACTGCCTCCCGCTTCGAAGGAACCGAAGGCAGTTTGGGCTCATGGTAGAGCCTGATTTATTTATTTATTTATTTATTGTGGATGGCCCCTTGAGATGAATCATCTCTTTTTTGAGGGGGTCCTCGAAAAAGGATATAAGCGGAGACTGTGGACTAGAGTTCTGTTTCATAGCTAACATATATATATATAACTTATAAACTGCAGTCGTTTCTTTGCACTGTTCCTGTCTTTGTTTGAATCTGCACTCGTAGCTTATGGCGTCTGTTGCATTCCTCCTGCACTTTTAAATAGTTCATGTTTGTCTCAGATATTTATTGTTTTGCTGTTTGTGCTGAATACAATTTAATAATAACTATGTTTCCAACAAGAACTTTGTCTTTAGTCACAGCGTCACAGTTGAAATGACTTATGAAATAATGAGTCCATAGAACTATCACATAAACCTGCACTATAGCCACACATGTAATGATCTCAAACAGCTTGTTTTGGTAAAGTTTTTGTTCTGAAGAGGAGAAAGTAGCAGCGTAAATGGGACCCCTTTGGTTTCCCAGGCAACTCCTGTGAGATCTCCATCACGTGGTTGGTGGATTACAACATTCTACAACCTTCAAAACTACTTAAGGGGAACGCGCGAGTGTACCACCAACTGTGGGTTTGTAGGTCCACCGCAACCAGTGCTGCGCGAGTCTACACAGGCCTTAAGGGAAGACAGTTCTTGCCCGTAATATTATAATTCATAAAATGACTTATTTTATATCAACATTTAAGGTCAATTCTTAACATTTGAAATTCATTTAGAGTTCCTGACTATCACTATAATGCGTGGGGTAAATTTAGGTACCCGTGCTTTAATTTCAGGAGTTTTGGTTGCGCTTCGGGAGGAGACATACGGGAGATGGTCCTGAACACGAGTCCATGGTTCTGTCTGTGCGTCCATGGTTCTGTCTGTGCGTCCATGGTTCTGTCTGTGCGTCCATGGTTCTGTCTGTGCGTCCATGGGTCTGTCTGTGCGTCCATGGGTCTGTCTGTGCGTCCATGGTTTTGTCCGCGCGTCCATGGTTTTGTCCGCGCGTCCATGGTTTTGTCCGCGCGTCCATGGTTTTGTCCGCGCGTCCATGGTTTTGTCCGCGCGTCCATGGTTTTGTCCGCGCGTCCATGGTTTTGTCCGCATGTCCATGGTTTTTTCCATGCTTCCATGGTTTTGTTTATGGTCTGCGCTCGGTACCACGTTACGGATGTGCGTTTGCTGAGCTGTTGTCAAAGCGGCTGTCAGTACAAAGAGGCCCCGTGGGTCAGAGCGGAGGATGTGAATCCTGTCAGAAATGGCATAATTAATTTTCAAAAACGTCTCAATCACTTTCACTTCTCACAAGCCACAATGCCTCTGTCTGGTTGTGAGAGGGTAATCGCTGCTTGTTATCCTGTGTATACTACACGATGTGAGTAAGCTTTAACTCGACCCAATACAAGAAATTCTCGCACAAGTGAGAAATCCTCTCAAAAAGGGGCAAATATCATGTGTCATATTATGCTCATCTTAACTTAGCTTAGCATAAACATTCATGCATTACTAGATCATAAATTAGTAATGCATGAATGTATCATGAACTAATGCATTAATTAATGCATTAGTTCATAATCATTCATGAACTCATGTACCATATTAAGTGTTACCAAAAAAAAGAGTTAAATTGTTTTGCTTTTGCCTCTTGTTACCTCGCACCTTATTTCTGTCATCTTGTGTGAGTGTTTTAATGTATCCGTGTCTCTGTTTAGCTGGTGAAGGAGCTGCTGGCCTCACTGCCCTCCATGTTCGCTCAGAGCAGGGAGACACAGAGTGCCCTGGGGCCCGCTCTCCAGGCCGCGTACAAGCTCATGAGCCCCACCGGAGGAAGGGTCTCAGTGTTCCAGACTCAACTACCCACACTGGGGGCCGGCCTGCTGCAGTCCAGGGAGGATCCCAACCAGAGGGCCAGCACCAAGGTCAAACATCAGGCTCTCATCAGGGGCTGGAAGGGGCTGGGATGCAGAGCAGAGCAGACGGTTGAGTTGGGCTGCTATTGTCAGGCTGATTGTATCCAGATAAGATAAGAGAACCTTTATTCGTCCCACAGTGGGGAAAGTTCAACTTTGCATTGCACATACAGGACAGTAGTAAGAGGACACAAAATATAGAGTAGCTGTTTTGCCTCTTAGACAGACATATTGAGGAATTTACAGCTAGCTGTCTGTCTCCGTCTGTCTTTCTGATGGGGTTGTTTTATCTCTTAAAGTTAAAATATATATTTTTTTTATATATAAAAGCTTGAATATTCAATCTAGCACATGAAAATGTGACCACACATAACATTCTATTTATTAATTTAACCCTTTATAACACAGAAGTGCAGCTACAACAGTATTTTACTTTATTTTCTTTCATTAGCCTCTGGATAAAATATAACCATGATATATTTTTGCTTTATTACAGGTCTTTAAATCTAACTTCCAGTGTGATTTGCTTGAACTTTAAAAGAGGCATTGTTAAAACCTAAAATTTGGTTATTCTGCAGTTTAACCCTGGAAGGATAGCGTCAGTCACTATTGACTCCACTATAAACAAAAATATCCTATCCCTAGACACCGGCTATACACCACCTAATATTTCCATGGTACATATAAAAGGAGACTTTGAAGTTTTATGTTTCTCTGTTCAGAGATCCCGGTTCCCACCTATAATTATAGTAAATGAGTCTTCAAAACTACTGGGCCTCAGCTTCATAAAGAGATAGATAAGAAATTCAGTAGGGATGCACCAATACCACTTTTTTCAAAACCGATACGAGTATGAGTATCTTTGTTTGAGTACTTGCTGATACCGATATGAGTACTGTTATCCCTGGGAATTCATAAAACTAATACAACTGAAATCTAAAATGTTTTATTTCTCATTTCAACAATAAGAAAATGCTTTAACAAATAAACATTTTAGCAATTGTTTCAACAGTCAACAATAAGAGCCACTGTCATATTCCACTCATACAATGTTGTAAAGTTGGTTGTTTTTGTGCTCCGGTGCTAGCAAGGGTGTTACGCAGAATTGGTGGTGAGTTTTCGGATGTCTGATGAAGTTGCTGGTGTTATACGTGTTTGTTTTGGACCCACCTCGTGACAGTTTTGCCTCACACAAGGTACAGTCCGCTTTACTCTTGTCACTCGTTTACTTACCGTACTTACCATACGGCCAACATCCGCTTGCCTCTTAGCAAGTGACGTAGCTAAGCTGCCAGGGACGTGCAGTCAGGGGAGGCAGGGGAGGCAGAGCCTCACCTGCCATTATTGGAAACTAATAATTATTTTAGTTTAAATATATAATTTATATCCACTGTCCTATGCTTTTAATGTATATTCGGCACGGTTCCCATCAGTTTTGATCATTTCTGAAGTCAAAATCGCCGAAATCCCGTTATTCCTATTCAAAGAGACGAGATGAGGCAGCGCTCCTGCGTGCCTCACCCCAGACCGCTCCCTCACAGTGTGTGTGTGTGTGTCTGAGTGCACTCAGCTCGTGCAGTTGATATATCACCGTTTGTTTCAAATATCCTGCTTTAAAAACATTTTTTAAACTCCTCTTAGTGTTTAGTAGTGTATTGCACGTATGTGTGTACAATTTATATTTAGTTTAAGTCTTTTGATCGTAGATGAACACACAAGGAAAAAGCTTGGCGTGAGGCAGGCGGTATCTGTGCCTCACCGCTAGGGGTGATAGTGAGCATAAAGTTCATACCAGAGTTGCTAACAAACAATCAGCCCAAAATGCTATTTCTTTTGCTGGAAAATGGATGATTTGAATGAAGATTTTTTTTCTCAATTGGACTTTCAAACAAAGAAAGAATTAATATAGACTGGGAGACCACCACTGGACTTACGAGGTTAGTCCGGCTGCGGGGGAGGAGTTTGTTAATCTGTGTTTTATGTTGAACATTGACAGATACCGGCAAAGTAGTGCTTTTCCGAAAAACACTGATTCAAACACTGCTCAAGAGTTCTGCAACTTGTTTAAATTATTGTTTATGTTCCTCGCATCTCTCTCTCCTCGCGTCTCTCTCTCCTCGCGTCTCCGTCTCTCTCTGCTCCTCGCGTCTCCGTCTCTCTGCTCCTCTCTGTCTCTCTCTGCTCCTCTCTCCTCGCGTCTCCGTCTCTCTCTGCTCCTCGCGTCTCCGTCTCTCTGCTCCTCTCTGTCTCTCTCTGCTCCTCTCTCCTCGCGTCTCTCTCTCCTCGCGTCTCCGTCTCTCTCTGCTCCTCGCGTCTCCGTCTCTCTGCTCCTCGCGTCTCCGTCTCTCTGCTCCTCTCTGTCTCTCTCTGCTCCTCTCTCCTCGCGTCTCTCTCTCCTCGCGTCTCCGTCTCTCTGCTCCTCGCGTCTCCGTCTCTCTGCTCCTCTCTGTCTCTCTCTGCTCCTCTCTCCTCGCGTCTCCGTCTCTCTCTGCTCCTCGCGTCTCCGTCTCTCTGCTCCTCTCTGTCTCTCTCTGCTCCTCTCTCCTCGCGTCTCCGTCTCTCTCTGCTCCTCGCGTCTCCGTCTCTCTGCTCCTCTCTGTCTCTCTCTGCTCCTCTCTCCTCGCGTCTCTCTCTCCTCGCGTCTCTCGCACCTGCGCTTCTTAAAGATGTTGTTTGATGCGGAGCAGAGTCAGCAGCTAGATTTGTTGTGAGATTATTAAAAGAAGCTGGTTCTCTTATCTTTACAGTATATAAAGTTTGTGGATGTCATTGCATTGGTGATTAAATGCTATTTTATTTGTATAATGATTGTAAATCTGACTTTTAAAGTCAGTGCCTCCCCAATCACAAACCTCACCGCACGTCCCTGTAAGCTGCCACTAAGCTAGCAGTAAGTGCTTTCTCGCAGCTGACTTTCGGGGATCACCATGGCAACACGTGCCGCACAGCTGTCTGCTGTCATGACGCTAATATGAATTAAAAATGTGGGTATCGGTTACAGGCATTGGGTCCTATGGTATGAGTGCAGGTACAAGCCTATGGTATCAACCCAATGCCCGATACCAATATCGGTATTGGATACCTACACCAGTATCTGTATTGGTGCATCCCTAAAATGTAGATGTCAGGAAAAGAAACTTATCCAGAGATACTTAGGACTCGCTGCCATTTACAGCGCCATTAAAAGTAAAATATGCAGGCGTTTCCACTGGCTCGCTTTAGCCGCTACCCAGTACTTTTTTAGCAACGGCTTGGTCCTGGTTCTAGCCAGTCCGTGTAGACACCACAAGTAAAAGATACAGATATGACACATAACATCAACACAACTTTAGCTTTTTTAAGCTGTGTTCAGACCGGATCGTTGCAGCGAGTTTCAATGCAAAGTCAATGGTGACGCCGTCCATGCGAGGAATTGCATGGTCGTTGCGGCACGCGTGTTTATCCCGCAAGGCAGATGCCTTGTTGCGGCGCGGAAGAGGCGATGGCTAATGTAGATGCATGCAGCGAAAGCAGGAGATGAACAACCAATCAGAGAGCAGCAAAGTTGTCACAGGGACATATGTTGGTCCAAACCAGGAAAATTCAGACGCTCGAAAACAACCAAAACATGAGCTAAACCAGGATTAAACCAGGACTGAGTTAGCCGATGTCGGTAAATTTTATCCATTTGGTCAAACCACCTCCAGGCTTTTCGGTTCTGTCCACTTTAGCTGTTGTGATATTTCATTTCCCGGTAGTCGCATTTAAGCTTCTTAACTTTTCTCTGTCCTGTGATGATATCCGTGGATATCCATTCCGTCATCCTTGGTGCCACCTCCACAAACGCTTTCTCATTTCGGGTGGCACCATCGAGCTCACGTTGTTGTCCTCTCCTCAAACTGAGGAAGGTGTTGCCCTCATCCAGCGACCAAGGAATTGTTTTACGTACAGATGTCTATATAGTTTTCAGCTGGAAACTTGAGCAGATGTGTTGTCTTTTTCGCAACAGCTGACGCTGCAGCTGAAGAGTGATTGACAGCGCCTCTGACCAATCTGTCAGACGTCAGATTGTTACCAGGGCCAAACCGTTACAAAAAAAGTACCGGGTAGCAGCTAAAGCAAGCAGGTGGAAACCCCCACGCAAACCGGGGAGAGTTGAGTCGAGTAGAGTCGAGACCATGGAAACGGCCCTTTTTAAAGCCTCAAAATGTTTTGAATTTGCATTTATAAAAAAGGAAATGAATAAAAGCTTCAGTTATTACACTTGTGTGTGGTGCAGTGATGCAAGTGTAAGTATTGCCTGTGATCTCTGTCCACATTATGCGTTTGTTGACCTGTTGCCTCTGCACAGGTGGTGCAGCACCTGGGCCCTGCCACAGACTTTTATAAAAAGCTTTCCCTGGACTGCTCCGGGCAGCAGATCGCCGTTGACCTGTTCCTGCTCAGCTCCCAGTACTCAGACCTGTCCTCACTAGGTACGTGTGCTCCTGCCAGTCAACACCTGCAAAAGTCTTGGAGATCATATGTTACGCTTTTTTTATAGGACAATTCATACATAAGGCCACTCAATGTGATTTACAAAAAATAAGAAATTTAACATGTAAAAGTATAGATTTTATTATATTTTATTAAAGTAAAAAGTACATGATAAGAACAAGCATTTGCAAATGGAGAAAGCTCTGCAGTCCACTCCTCGGACACTGCATCAGTCTCCCTGACGCACAATGGGATTCAGCCACACTTCATCTCATCTCAGTTGTCCATGGGTGGAACGCATGTCACTCCTCTACTACGTGGGCGTCATGGTGGCGAGTGGATACCACTCTCGCTTCTCCGTAAGAAGGTCCTGGGTTCCAATACCAGTCGGAACAGGGCCTTTCTGAGTGGAGTTTACATGTTCTCCCCGTAAACAAATAAAACAAAGCCCTCTAAACCATTTAACCATTACAATTCACCCACTATGCTTAAGCCACCCAACACTTTTTACCGTGTGTGCACACGCCCTTAAAATGCCTGTGCTCCTTTTAGCGTGCATGTCCAAATACTCTGCTGGCAGTATCTTCTACTACCCGTCCTTCCACCACGTCCATAACCCCACCCAGCTGCACAAGTTCCAGGGGGATCTGGAGCACTACCTCACTCGCAAGGTCGGCTTCGAGGCCGTCATGAGGATCCGCTGCACCAAAGGTACTCGCTCTACTACGTCATGCTTGATTGATTCCAGGGCTCAATTGAAGTATGCTATTGCTAGCTCTGTGGTTGTATGTACAGAAGGCTGATTTTCACGCGCCTGCTCCTATATCTCTGTATTAAGTAAGTAAGTAAGTAAACTTTACTTATATAGCGCCCTTCACAGACCAGGGTCAGAAAGCGCTTCACATAGTATAAAGATTCAGATTCAGTTTATTTGCCATTTGTAGTAAAAAAAAAAAACACGTTGGAATACCATTGGAGTCACCAGTGTGCACAGACAAATACAGACATAACACATTAAAAGTACAGAAATAAAACAAATAAAACAGTAAACAATTGTCAATGTGAAATCGATCGGCTAAAACCGTTTTAAAACAAGTGCAAATCATTAAACCATTAAAGTGCCCTGTTCAAACTGATAACAGCTTGCGAAAAAAAACTGTTATGCATAACGAGATGTCCTGCATCTCAGCGAACGATATCTTCTGCCAGAGGGAAGAAGCTGGAACATGGCTTTTCCAGGGTGGCCAGAAGAGTCATTGACAATCCTAAGAGCTTTGTTTAAAAGTCTGGATTTATAAAGACCCTCCAGAACAGGAAGCTCACAGCCCACGGTCCTCTTTGCAGAGCGGAGCACCTTGTTTAAAGCTCTCTTTTCTTTTTCTGTGATGTTACCAAACCACACAGTCACAGAACCAACAAGTAAACTTTCAATGGTGCAGCGATAAAAGTTGAGCAGAATCTTAGAGTTAGTGGTAAATTCTCAAAGTTTCAGCAGGAAGTAGAGACGCTGACGAGCTTTCTTAACGACCCGGTCAGTGTTTTTAACCCATTTCACGTCGTTAGACAGAGTTAAACCCAGAAACGTGCACTCCTCTACAATCTGTACCTGGGAGTTGTCGATAACTACAGGAGTGTGAGAACTGTTACGACTGAAGTCGAAGACCAGTTCACATGTTTTCGATGCGTTTTGTATTTTGTGTATCTGCTCTATAAGAGGATTCATCATTGTTACTGATGAGACCAATGATGGTGGTATCATCAGCATATTTAATGATCAGGTTCGAGTCAGAGGAGGACACACAATCGTGAGTGTACAAAGTAAAAAGTAAAGGACTCAAAATACATCCCTGAGGAGATTCTGTGCTCACAGAAACATCAGAAAAACAGTCATTGATTTTCACTCTCTGAGATCTGTCAGTTAAAAAGCTAAAAATCCATTTACACATGGCAACACTTAAACCGAGAGACATGAGCAGGACGATAGTCATTAAGGCACGACACAGGAGTTTTCTTAGGAACTGGGATGATGGTTGACTCTTTAAAGCAGTTCGGCACAGTACAGTTCCTTAGCGACAGGTTAAAATGTCTGTTAGCACAGGGGCAAGTTGCTCAGAGCACAGTTTCAGGACACGAGGAGGGATGCCGTCCGGGCCTGGGGCTTTCCGGACTGTGGTCCTGGGCAAGACACGCCTGACATCCTCCTGAGTCATGGTGAAGGCACCTTGATTGAGAAAATCAGGGAATACAGCAGATTCAAAGCGACAGTAGAACGTGTTAAGCTCATTTGGCAGAGCTTGGCCGACAGATCCGATTTTTCCAGCGCTAGGTTTCCACGATGTGATGGCTTTAATACCACATGCGTCGAGGGTCATCTTCCTCGAAATAACCCTTTAACCTGTCCCCGTAACTGCGCTTTGCAGATTTAATAGAGCGTTTCAATGAGTAACAGGAAAACTTGTAAGCAACTGTATCATTTGATTGAAACACCAACGCACTCTTATGAAGTTTCAGTTTTACTTCCGCGTTCATCCAAGGGTTTTGACAAAAAAAATTTGTTAATGACCTTCTGTGGGACACAGCAGTCAATACAAAAGCGTATGTATCTAGACACAGCGTCACAGAATTCATTAATGTCCTCTGACTGAAACACAGACCAGTCCGTAGCCTCAAAACAACCTTGTAGCTTCATGCTAGCGTCCTCAGACCAACACTGCACAGTGCGAGAAGTTGGTTTATGTTCCCTGCTCCTCTGAGTATATGAGGGAAGAAAGAGAACAGAGGAGTGGTCAGACTTCCCAAAAGGAGGTCTGAGACTGGACCTGTAAGCTCCCTTCACGTTACTGTAACAGTGATCCAGAACATGTGCTCCTCTTGTAGCTTGAGTCACATTAAATTACATTTATTGAAATCCCCAGCAACAATGATGACTGCGTTAGGATGAGCAGACTCATGTTTGTGAAGAATCTCGCTCAGATCCTGTAGATCAACAGAATAATCCGCACGTGGGTGAATGTAAACAGCACATAAAAATATCACAGAAAACTCCCGGGGAAGATAAAAAGGGCGACAGCTCAACCCCAGGCATTCTAGATTGGCAGTACATGTTTGGTTCACGATGCAAGTGTCCGTGCACCAGCGCTGATTAATTAAAAAGCACACGCCTCCACCTCTGGAATTCCCCGGGGTCTCCTTCTCTCTGTCCGTGCGGTGAGCGGTGAATCCCGGGAGCTGAACAGTCGAGTCCGGGACGCCTGCATGGAGCCACATCTCGCTGAGACAGAACACAGCGCAGTCCCATGCCTCGCGCTGGCTCTGGATCCGACACAAGAGCTTGTCCGTCTTGTTGGGCAGAGACTGGACGTTCGCCAGGTAGATGGAGGGGAGAGCGGCCCGGTAGGAACGGCTTCGAACGAGCAGACCGCCTCGCCTGCCCCGGTGTCTGCGCCTCCTTCGCCGACTCGAGGTGCCTTGCTCCACACCGCAGAGAGAACGACGGAGACGCCCAGTCCCCTCGCTCTGTTGGCGGCCACCGCCGCGGCCCGTCTGGCGTGCTCCACGAGCCTCTCGAGTGGGGCACTCGAGAAAGTTTGTGCACCTCAGTTCGGGTAGGACGAGTGACCTGTCACACGCAAGGTCCCGAATGTACAGAAGTGTTTCAGAAGGGATCTCAGGTCTGTGGATCAGAACCTCCTGATGGTCCCACGCACTCGCTCAAGACCAGAGGAGACAGGTCCTTCCAGGCTGTCGCTCCCAAGTTTTGGAACGTTCTCCCGCTCTCTATGCGTTCTATAGAGTTTGAGTGCTTCAAAAGTCAACTGAAAACAAATAAATGGGTTTTCAGTTGACTTTTGAAGCACTCAACTCTATAGAACGCATAGAGAGCGGGGAGAACGTTCCAAAACTTGGGAGCGACAGCCTGGAAGGACCTGTCTCCTCTGGTCTTGAGCAAATGCGTGGGACCATCAGGAGGTTCTGATCCAGAGACCTGAGATCCCTGGTTGTAAGGCTGGATCAGGTCACTGATATAAGACGGGGCCTGACCATGCAAAGCTCTGAAGGTTAAAACCAGAATTTTGGCTGGAGACCGGCTCCGTAACAGCAGGGGCACCACTCAAAACGGGAGGGATATTCTCTTTGATCCGCTTAATTTTGTCCATAAAAAACCTCAAAAATGCGTTGCTGTCAGCTTCACAAATGACAGGGGCAGTTAGAACAGCAGGACAAACAAGAGAATTGATCGTATCAAACAGAACTTTGGGGTTTTTCTTGTTTACTGTCACCAGTTGACGAATAAAGTCAGATCTGGCATTTTCAACCATTCCATTGTATGACGCCATAAGATCTCTCAGATGGAGATCTTTGGCTTTTTCCTGTGTTGACAAACTAACTTTAATAGGGGCCACACAATTCAAGATACTATTACAATGATTACTAAATGAATGGATGAAGGTGTCCACATTGAGGCAGTCCGTAAACAACAGAGGATCAAACATGGAAGAAAAATTGTCTGCAGTATTAGCGGATACAATACGCCTCTGAGACCTAACTATAGCCGGCTTAGGCTCAGGGCTGAAGTGCAGATCAAATGAAACAAGATAATGATCACTCAAATGTACATCGTTCACAGACACCTGTGAAATGTCCAGACGAAGCGTAAAAACAAGATCTAAAATGTGACCTTTTTGGTGCGTGGGCACAGAAACATGCTGCTCAAAGTTAAAAGCTTCAGTCAATGTTAAAAGTTCCATTGCAGAGCAACATGAGCAGTCATCAATGTGAAGGTTAAAATCTCCAGCGATTAAAACCGATTCCAAATTTATAATAGAGGATAAAAAGTCACTAAAATCCTTCAAAAACGCAGCAGCAGGGCCAGGGGGGCGGTAGATTGACACGCAGTAAAATGGGTTTAAAGAACCCACCTTTACCATCTGGCACTCAAATGAAGGGGATTCCTGGGTCTGTGACACTTTGCATGTGCAACTGTCCTTGTAGACAACAGACACGACGAGAAGGGTGGGGCTTCCCCACGACGCAGCCAGGGGAACAGAGTTCATTTCATGAACTCATTGTCTTTCTCCCATGTCTCAGACACAAAACATCCACTTCTCTTTCAAAAAGATCATTCAAAGAGAAGGATTTGTTTGCAATAGAACTAGTGTTCAACTGTGAAGTTTCCGCGGAGTGCAGCGTGATTGGACGAAGGCATGTCCAGCGGTCACGTGGACTCCAGCTGGGCCGTGCAGGGAAAGCCGGTGTAAACACTCTTATCGGTGCCCGCTGCTGCTGTGACCTGTCCTGCTCCACCCAGAGGCTACACCACCTCTGCTGCTGTGACCGGTCCTGCTCCACCCAGAGGCTACACCACCTCTGCTGCGGTGACCCGTCCAGCTCCACCCAGTGGCTACACCACCTCTGCTGCTGTGACCCGTCCTGCTCCACCCAGTGGCTACTCCACCTCTGCTGCTGTGACCTGTCCTGTTCCACCCATCGGATAACACCACCTCAGCTGCTGTGGCGTATCCTGCTTCACACAGAGACTACACCATCTCTGCTGTTGCAGTGCTTTTGCATTATAATACTATTGTTAGCTATTTTTAGAATTCTCTATTTATTTGTTTCGTTTGTATGGATGGATTTGTTTCTGCTGCTACTGGACACCTGAATTTTTCCTACTGGAATCAATAAAGTATCTATTGATTGCAGTAAGCTAT